CACATCCAAGGTGTAAAGTCTAAATTTGCCTTTATGATTTGACACCGCTGGACTTGAGCCATTGGGGATATTGAAAAGAAAAATTGAACGTCAATATGCCAAGAACAATTGAAGAGCTAAAGGATGAGATCATTCGACACATTAACGGCATTGCCGTGGTCGTGGCGATCATTTGGCCGATATTTGGTTTCACAAATGTTAGATTTAGAAAAATAATACAATTGGCCAAGAACAAGTCTGTCACAAACAGAAAGAGACATAATAATAAGCTGAAAATAATCGTTGAGAATTGCTTTTATTGCTTGAATATGATTCAGGATTCAGGAATCAAGCAAAGATGGTTACAACTTTAATTAATTAAAAGCAGTTCTGACCAGCCACAAAAATCATAATAAAAACCGGAGGACAGATAAAAAACTCTTTTTGTTCCAAAAGGCTTCCAATTGTTGTCAACTTGGACTTCTTCAGTGAGAGCCTTTCTAAACCAGTGAGTACCTCTTGCTTGACTGGTGCGAGCCAGTTCTGGTTGATCACTGCACGGGTACTGCCGCAAGTTCGTCTGACTGTACCATTTGATACATTACAAGTATATCACAGTTTCACACCTGATAATCGGAAAGTAATACTACTTATATAACCTTCACAATTAAAGACCAATGTTCCATTCTTTTATAATAAAATAATGCTTTTTGTTCTTCAAAAGTTGGGTTACTTCTGTGACTCCAAACCAACAAGATCTTGTTTTTAATAAGAAAGTTGGGTCGCAAAAGACAGTATATACCTACCTACATACATATATTGTCTCGTCACATGGTTTTTAATAGACTACAATTGAAAAGCTAGAATCAAACTATAAATACAATTTATAAATAAGTGGTACTTACCTTTGTGTGAAAAGTTTCGTATAATAATGAACTAACAGCCCATTAACAAATCACATGAAACAAGGCAAGTACAATGCCAAAGTGCCAGGGTTCTGCGTTTTGAACCTAACTAAAATCCAATAAACTTGGCTCGAACAAATTGACAAGAAGTAAAAGACAATAGACAAATAAACAATCACACAATTAATTTTACTTTAGACAGAGGAACACACGAGAATTATTGTTAATTTGTCTAATCATAGAGGTTGATTTTAATTTATCTCATCTAATCTATCTAATCTTTAAAGATTATATTTCATTTTGGCTTTTGGAAATAAGAAATAAATGAATTTTGTGTCCTGATTATAGGATTCATCCTTAGTCAATGCTGACAGACAGACAATTCGTCATCACGTCTGAAATAAAGCTTACGGACGTCCATATATATCTGACTAATAGACCAAGTCCAAGTTTTGACGCCTTTCAGACGTCTTTTCTAGTTTCTTTCTCAGTTGGTCAGTTGTGCTACCTGGGGGTAAGCACAATTTGTGGGGCAAATGTGGAAATAAACAATCTGGCGGATATAAGGTTAAGTTTTATCCCGATTGGTCTGTCATAAAATTTGTCAGATGGCCAGATGGAACAAAAGATTTGTCTGTATATTAATTTATGCGCTTTAAGGCCTGTTTTTCCAGGAAAATTCTGGATTATGGCAAAAATCGGCATTTTTTGAAAAACTCTTTCAAATAAAAAGTGCTCTAAATAGGCAACACTACAATATGAGTAGGATTAAAGATTTTTAGTTCATTCTCGTAAGTCCAAATTGGCCGATAAAAATGTTTAAAATCGTAAATTTATACAGTTTCAGTAAAAATGGCCATTCTGGCCGACAGCGGTA